TTTTCAAAAGCAAATTACAAGAAAAGCAAAAAGTTAAGCAGGTCCCACATAAAATATTGTCCGGATCCCATATAAAATATCTAAAAGCATCGCGTGGTGGAGGTGATGGGCACCAATGAAATGTTTGGTTCATGAATTAGAATCATATGATTATAATTATTTTTAATTTATGTGTATTTTTTATGAGAGAAAACACTGTAGTGAATCATGAATCATGATTGAAATCATGGTTTGAATCCTCCAACCAAACGTCCCCCAAGTGATTGGGAAGCTCGGCCCGGTTCAACATGAAATTTATAAAATATTTTTTAAAAATAAAAAATATAATGTTTAAATTGCGCTGGCCTAACACCTTATAAGAATTGGCCCAACCCGATTTTAAGACATAAAAAATTAAGATAAAAAGAAGAATAACATAAGTGGTGATTAGTAAATTATAGTATATTTTTTAAAAATAATAAATTAGAGCTTGATATTTTAAGTTTTAAATATTATCAAAAACTCAAAAATATCACTAAACTTCCTTTTCACCTCACTTATCCTCTCTAAACATCTATTTTTATAAAAAAAAATATAGTAAATTATAACATATTTTTTAAAATAAGTGATTATAGTCAAGTCCACTATGGCCAGGATCAGTGGCCGGCAATCAGCTCTGACAACCTGCGACCGTTTTCCAACAACTAGTGACTGTTTTCTGGTGACTATTTTTCGACGATCTTTTAACACTATATTTAGCAGTAAATACCATATTTACCATTTAATACAATATTTACTAGTAAATACCATATTTACCTGAAAAGTTAACCACCGACTCCGGTGACCGTTTAATGCTATATTTACAGGTAAATATTGTATTTATCAATAAATACTATATTTACTAGTAAATATCATATTTACCTGAAAATCCAGCCACCGACTCTGGTGACCGTTTAACACAGTATTTACCAGTAAATATCATTTTTTTTAGAAAATTCAGGCACCGACTCTAGAGACCGTTTAACACTATATTTACTAGTAACTATCATATTTACCAGTAAATCTGTAATTACTAGTAAATACCATATTTATCTAAAAATTTGGCTACCAATTCCGGCGACCGTTGAATGATGTATTTACTGGTAAATGCCGTATTTATGAGTAAATATCATATTTATCTGAAAATTCAGGCACCGACTCCAGCGACTATTTAACACTGTATTTACCAGTAAATACCGTATTTACTAGTAAATATCATATTTATCTGAAAATCCGGTGACCGTTTAACACTGTATTTACCGATAAATATCATATTTATCTGAAAAGTTTATCACCCACTCCGGTGATCGTTTAATACTGTATTTACCAGTAAATACCGTATTTACTAATACATATCGTATTTATCTAAAAAATCTATCACTCACTCCGACGACCGTTTAACACTGTATTTACTGGTAAATACTATATTTATCAGTAAATATCGCATTTACCTAATAATTCAATCATCGACAACCAAGACTAGAAACTAGTAAATATGATTTTTGTCCTTATTTACTTGAAATTCTAGAAATCTATAAATTAGCGGCACCGAAACCAAATCACAACATAGAATCAACCAAAATTTTGGATTATCATTGTTGGTTGCCGAATCGAATCCGGCTGCGGAAGCGTGGTGGTGCGGGGAAGAGGCGGATTGTGTATAACAAAAATTTTCATAAAACTTTTGAGATACTCTATAGATTATATTAATTTATGCACGAATAAATTAATCTCATTAACTTATATATATCAAGAACTCAATCAGGAAAAATACCTGGAAGCCGACTCGGATGATAACTTGAGTTCTTTGACCACGAACAGTCCTTGCTCCAATCTTTGTGTTTAGAAAACCAATGTCTTCCACATCAATTCTTAGAATCCACAAAGACGTGTGTGTGGGCACACATGAGACAAAACGGGTTACAATAAACACTCAAATTTCCACAAACACCATCGCATGCACGATGTGGAATTTTTAGAGAAAAAGTTTTCTTTCCTTTCTCTCTTGAGAATTTCGGCCAGCCTTAACTCTTAGGGCTGAAAAATTGTTTCCAAAATTTCTATAGAGAAATTTCGGCTACCTCTAAAATTAGGGCAAAAAACCATTCCAAAAATTGTCTCAAAAATAGTATAAATAGAGTAGAAGTCAAACTTCTAGAAGGAATCTAATCTCTATCTCTAAGATAAAGCTTGTTAATTATCTCCTATTTGAATTTCGAACCAAAATTCTCCTCTATCCCTTATCCCTTGTGGCCGGTCATGCTAGGGATTCCCATCCCTGTGTGTGGCGCCAATACTGGATAGGGAAGAAAGAGAAAATCATCCTTTATCATGTAGTCCAATTTTATTTCAATTTCAAATTCAAATTTAAGTCAAACTTAAATTAATTTGAATTTCTAAATTGAACAACTTATCAAATAAGTTTAAATGGATAAATCTAGATGTGTTCAAATTCAAATTTAAATAATCACATTATTTAAATAATAATCAATTCTCAATTAATTATTTTCGAGTATTTAATTTATAGAATTCCTTAATTCTAAAATTTCCCATTTTACCCTCTGTGTCTGGTAGAATTACTAGGAC